AGTATCATTTCTCTCCCAAACCAAATATGGCTATTACTGCATCAGATTTTTTAAAAAATATCAGTCTCCAAACAATTACACAGAAATGCTGTGATGTTATTTTAGCTAAACCATGGTTAACCTTGCCAGGCTATGGGTACCCAGACTAAATGTTACTTCTAAGTGTGTCTGTGAGGGTGTTCCCAGAAAAGATTAGCATTGGTAGATTCAGTAGATTGCCCTCCACAATTTAGGAAAGCACTAACCTATCTGTTGAAGGCCCAACTAGGACATGAGAAAAAAAGAGGAGTTCATCCCTGTTTTTGGCTTTCTGTCTGCCTGCTTGAGAATTCTCATCTTTTGAAAAGACTTCTCATCTTTTCCGGCCTCTGGACTGGGACTGAAACACTGACACACAAGTTCTCAGGCCTTCAGACTCAAACTAAGTTACATCACTGGTTTTCCTGGGTCCCTACCTTGCAGAATGTAGATGGTGGGAGTTCTTAGCCTCCATAAACATTCAAGACAATTTGTCATAATAAATCTTCTTGTATACATATAATTTTCAGCTGTTTGTTTCTCTGGAGAACCCTAATACAGATAGATGCTTTCCAAAGATCTAAGAAATTCAGCACATTAATGAGAGCATGAATTCAGTTTGATTAAAAAGGGAAAAAAAAGTATTCCAAGAATAAAAGTAACAGCCTTCATTCACATTCTTAGGGGATGCCTCTCTAGGGTTTTGACACGATCAATCACACAGACACTGACATTTCTGAAATTGTCAGGTTTCTTCACTTTGCTCTTCTTATTTGTATATTTTCTAAAAAAGCAGTTTTCACAGCATTTTCATGAAATAACTTTTTCCAACATTTTTTGCTTTCTTGCTTAACAAGATTTACCTCTGTATTCTAATTGCTTCAGTTCATAGGTTTGGCAAAAGACTCTTGTTAGTCAGGATTTTCACATATCTTTTTCTGCCAAATCAGAAATTCGCTTCCATATTTTTATTGATAATAATATCACACAACCTGAGTTGTTTGTACCACGACACTAAATTATGCTGCATTATACACCAGAAACTGAAAGCTGCTTCCATGAGGATGCAGGTTAGATGGAATCAAGCTCTATAAACAAGTGAAGCTGCATCAGCACTCAGAGCTTAGATGACAGCTATTCTTGTGAGTGCATTTAACCACATCATCTTTCACCCAGATCCTCCTGGGCCTAGCAAGACTAAAACTACATGATGAGGAGATTTAGCAAAGCCAACTGTGCAGTGTCCATAAATATAAGAAACAGAGACAGGAAAGGACTTGGAAGGGCTACAAGGAGACAGCAGGTTGGGTTAGCACACATTAATAGGCAAAAAACAATGATCTGAAACAAAAATAGCCTTTGACATTTTAAAATGTAGTATCTTTTCTCCAAGAGTATCATTCTGCCACTCTGCTCCAAGTTACCGTATTTTTCGGACCATAAGATGCACTTTTTTGCCCCCAGAAGTGGGGGGGGGGGGAAATCCCTGCGTCTTATGGTCCAAATATATTGTAGCCTACACCAGTGTTTTTCAACCTTTTTTGGGCAAAGGCACACTTGTTTCATGAAAAAAATCACGAGGCACACCACCATTAGAAAATGTTAAAAAATTTAACTCTGTGCCTATATTGACTATATATAAAGTAATTCTCTTGAATAGGAATCAAATAAACACAAAGAAAGTATTTTATCATTACTTTATTATGAAATATTAAGTAAACAAAATAGTGAAAAATTATAAAATTCTTGTCTTGTCTGCACCTACGGCACACCAGGCAACATCTCAGTGTGCTGCGGAACAGCGGTTGAAAAACGCTGGCCTACACATATACTTTAAAAAAAAAGTTTTTTTACTTGCCTGGCTCTGTGTGGTCTCTGTGTGCTTGCCCGGCTCTAAAATGGTTCTAAATGCTGCTGTTTACTTTACAGGGTTGATTGCATGTGTTTATGACTGTGATGTTGGGTTTTAATGCACATAAAATATTTTAGGACACTATTTGTTTCAGAATCTTTTTTTCTTCATTTCCTTTCTCTAAAAACTGGTGCGTCTTATGGTCCGGAGTGTCTTATGGTCCGAAAAATACGGTAGTTACGTATTGATTCAATTATGCATTTCTGTGTGCCAGAAAACACATACAGCTCTGTTTGACAAAAAATAACTTAATGGATTCATGGGTTGTTATTTTGTACCTTAATTATATTAAAACCTACTATAGAGTGATGAAATGGAGAAGAAAAGAGGATCTAACAATACAAAAATTCTTACCTTTAAGTTTATGCCTAAACTTATACTTTTAAGTTGATGCCACAAATAAAAGCTAGGCATAGCCTTTTAATTAAGATTTTTACATACATATATTCTATACTAGAGGCTAGTCGCATGAAGATTTGTGCAATAGGCCTTCCTTCACCTGGCTTCAGACACACCGGTTTTCCTCTGGTACCCAGGACCTAGGCCTTCACTCTGGCCACTGCCTTCTTCCTTCTCTCCGGCCAGGGTCTTTGCTGACTCCAGCGGCAGTCTGCAGGCTTCTTGCTGACTCCAGCCAGTCTGCACTCTTAGCTTCTTTCTGGCCAAAGGGCTGCTTCTATAGCTCCCTTCATGGCCCCTCCCCATCATACCAGGTGCCCTGCCCCGCCCAGCTGCTCTGCCATCTTTGCCCTGCTAATTTGCATATTCCCTCAGATTGGCTGCAGGGCATCAGAGGTATGGTCAATTTACATATTTCTCTTCTATTAGTGTAGATAATAAAATGCTAAGTGTCCAGTCACCCGTTCAACTAATCAAAGCATAATATGCTAATGATATGCTAAGGTAGTTCAACCACTTCCTTGATGTACACTGACCTCCAGGAGGCAGACATTTGACTGGTCGAACAGTTGCTATGATGTGCACTGACCACTATGGAACAGACTGGTAGTTTAGCTTGCTGCTGGGGTCTGGCCAATTGGGACTAAGCAAGATGGGCCAGACATGACCTGGAGCCCTACCACAGTCTCTCCCCAGCCCTGATTGATTGTGCATTGGTGGGGTCCTTTGGACTGGCCTGTGCCCTCTAGCTATCCAGGACCCCTTGAGGGATGTTGGAGAGCTGGTTTCGGCCTGGTCCTGCAGGCCGAATTTATGCACTGGGCCTCTAGTATGTATAGATAGATAGATATAGATATATATAGATATATAACCAGAGGACTAAATAAGTGAAACACACAAAATAGAAACTATTTCACACATTAAATAATCTTCAAATCAAACTTCTTTTCTACTGGTCTAAACAGAGAAAAGTGCTATGAATCTCTTATGACAATGCTGCTAAGGACAATGCTGAAAGGAATGTCATATCTTTGGTAACACTCAACAAAAGAGAACATATATTATTCATCTTTTTGTCTCCTACAGTACAGAACAGCTTCTACTATGAGTAGGCCCTTGGTAATGGCTACCAAGCTGATAATGAAAATTCTCTATGAGACAAAGTTCTTATTCAGTACTAGAGGCCCAGTGCACGAAATTCATGTACAGAGGCGGGGGGGAGGGGAATTACCCTCAGCCTAGCCTGCACCCTCTCCAATCTGGGACCCCTCGAGGGATGCCTGGTGGGATTGGGCCTAAACGGGCAGACATTCCTCTCACAATCTAGGACTGTTGACTCCCAACTGTCTGCCTGCCTGCCTTCCTGATTGCCCCTAACCACTTCTGCCTGCCAGCCTAATTACCTCCTAACCACTCCTCTGCCAGCCTGATGGATGCCTAACTGCTCCCCTGCCAGCCTGTTTGCCCCTAGCTATTGTCCCCTGCAGGCCTAGTCACCCCTAACTGCCCTCCCCTGCAGGCCTGGTCCCCCTCGGTTGCTCTCCACTGCAGGCCTGGGTCCCCCCAACTGCCCTTCCCTGAAGGCCCGGTCACCCCCAACTTCCCTCTTCTGTCGGCCTGGTCACCCCTCATTGCCCTCCCCTGTAGGCTTGATAGATCCCATCTGCTCTCCTTTGCAGGCCTGGTCCCTCCCACTGCCCTCCCCTGCTGGCCATCATGTGGTGGCCCTCTTGTGTCCACATGGGGGCAGGATCTTTGACCACATGGGGGTAGCCATCTTGTGTGTTGGAGTGATGGTCAATCTGCATATTACTCTTTTATTAAATAGGATTAGTCACCAGGCATATTGAATACTTTTAAAGGTACTGCTATAATGTGGGAAAGGGCAGAAGCTTTACAAAAACAGTCTTGGTTTAGTACTCTCCAAAAAAGGTAGGCCTTGGGTTTTACTTTCACTGAAATTAAACAGAATTTGTGTACATGGAGGCTTAACATAACCTATAGCAAGAAACTAAGAAAATAAACCAGGTGGAATGAATAGGGATTGTCTGATGCAACAAAGAGGAGCAGAAGAAGTGAATGCCGATATAGTTTTTGTTTGTTTGTTTGTTTTTGCTTCTATCAGCAGAGGAACAGGACACAGAGGGCTTGAGCTCAACTGGGTTTCACAGTGTGACAAATCACAATACAATTACCACTATCATGTCTCCATTATCTCATTTAGATTGCTACTAAAATGAGTTCTATTGTTTATATAGCACTAAAGGATTAGAAACCAGAGAATCTGAGCTTGTAACAACCACAGTCCTCTTAAGTAATTTTTAAACTTTTTTTTTTTTTGGTCACAGGATATCTTCCTCAAATACCATTTAATAAATGACCCCTATATATTAAAAAAGATAAATCAGAATGGCTCAATTTACTGCTTGGTTTTCAGTAGGTGGCCTGGCACCCTGCTTAAGGCATCTCCCATAGAATCAGTATGGATGTAAACTTTGAAAACTGATGAGTTCAAACTCCTCTCTTGTCCCGAGGTCACATACCTGCCCAGGCATTGAATGAAAAAGCTAGAACTAGAATCCAGTGATGCCAGCACCCAGAGAAAAGTTCTTCCCACTATATTCCATGCTGCTTCCAAAAAACAAAGGAAGACGACAGAGTTCATACTTACCATCTTTGTTCAGCCATTGCTTTCTTGTTCTGTACAAAATGAGCTTGTTGTGGACATACGGTAAAAGGAACTTGACACACCAGCTCTCCACACCAAGTTTGTTTTCAACCAGGACTATGGGGCTCCGGTTATATCTAGCTTCAGGACATGGGATCAGGCCAATTTCATCTCTTAATATGTAAAACATAAAAAACAATAAAAATAAGAATACTACCTTTTCAATCCTGAAGAGTATTTTTAAAAATTTACAAATTTCTATTTCTTAAAAATATTATTTGCTCATCTACTGAATTAGTAGAAATTTTTAAAAAAGCTTTTTAATACTTTCAACAGTACAGGAAAATTAGTATGGTGTACTCCTTGTTGATGGAAATAAAAATAAATCTAATCTTTGACTTGAAATCTGAAAATCTTTCAAAATTTTAAGTACACATACTCTTTGACCCATGATTCCACTGCTCAGAAATTATACTGCATCAAATTTTTTGAACAGGATGTTGACTGCAACAACAGTAGAAATGATCTAAATGTTTATGAATATAAGACTAGTAAAATATACATGATTTATCCATGTAGTAAGAGGTATAAAAAATGAGATAGATATGCATATGTTGGTATGAAAAAGGTGCCAAGATCTATGAAAAAGCAAAATGACAAATATAGTGTATCCCACAAAGCCTTTTGTGTAATTAAAAAAAAAAACAAAAAGCTATATATGCATTAAAATTTTTCTTGGAAAGATACCAAGAAACTTTTGGGACGATAAAGGATTTTATTTTCGTACAATCTAAATTTTCTAATCACTTGTACAAATTATTTCTATCTTTTTAAAAATGTGAACAAATGTACTTATGCTTACTTGCTAACAAATGTATGTGGAATGGAAACAAATTATTAGCAAAAGTTACTTTGTCAATTGAGATTGTGGGCTATATTTTATTTTCTTCTTTATAATCATTTAAATTAAAAAAAACACACATAATAGTAAATGTTAAAACAAAAAATACATTTCAGAATTTGATCATTTTCATCAAAGACATCTATATTCCTCAATCCATGTCAATTCAAGTTGAAAATCTATGTTACAGGCCAAGATTTAGTAAACAATATGTAAGACAGTTGATTTACACAGTGAAGGAACCAGCAAACATAGGGTTTTTGCAAAGCTTGGGCACATGCTTTTCAAATATAAGGAAATTACATTCTTGCTTACATGAGACATTCCTTCTCAAAGAGAATGAATGTCCTTCCCTTAATTAATGAATAGCTAATAAAATTTTTAAATAAAAACAGCTAGTAAATAATAACATTTTTAGACTGTCTAAATAGATAAAAATGTTCTTTTAAAAACAAAATAACTGTTTTTCAGAGCTTGTGTATGACATTATCTTTTCTGTCCCTGGGGTTCTCCTGCCAAGAAGATAGTAGTTTCATAGATGAAAGAGGAGGAAACATGTCCATTAAAGGTTATAAGAAAAGCCCTCTTTTTTTGTGAGGCCATCAACACAAATTGATGAGAGGCTGTGGAACTTAAAATCCCTCCTCAAAACTCTAAACAGTATAATTCAAGGGTGACCTGCTTGCTACTGATCACTTCATTAGTGACACGGAAATCTACACTAATAATCTGCCATACCTTTGTGATGCCCACTAGCCAATCAGGAGTTAGTATGCATATTAACCCAACAAAGATGGCAGGTTAATTTGCCTATGCAGGTGCCGAGTAGCCACGAGTAGCCGGGTGGAACACTTGCGTCGTCACCATGGCAATAACACAGGCATTCCATACCACCCCAGCTGCTCTAGTGGGAAGGTGGAAAGACAGCTCCGGCAGCCAGGGGAAGGAAGGCCCATTCTTGCATGAATCTTCATGCATAGGGCTTCTAGTACGTATTATTAATCAAGGGTACTCAAAGGGTTGCAAGTCTTTAACCATTCTTTCAAGCTAACTTAACTTGTAAGTAGATTTTAAGATGTAAGGCTTTTGTTCTGACAACTGGCTCTGTTAATTCAGAGGTGTTCAATACACCATGTCAATACTATCTAAACATTTTATGAGTACTACTCTAATGTACTGGCTACTGTGCTAAATTCTGAAAATGCAAAAATGAACAAGGTGGTCCCAGATTTCAGAGAGCTAATGGTTTTGCTAGGGATTGTGTCAGTATCTATAATAAAATGTTACCACTTTGGCCCTAACTGGTTTGGCTCAGTGGATAGAGTGTCGGCCTGCAGACTGAAAGGTCCCAGGTTTGATTCCGGTCAAAGGCATGTACCTTGGTTGCAGGCACATCCTCAGTAGGAGGTGTGCAGGAGGCAGCTGATCAATGTTTTTCTCCCATAGATGTTTCTAACTCTCTATCCCTCTCTGTAAAAAAATTAATAAAATACATATATTTTTTTAAATGTTACCATTTTGTCATTCTAGTAATATAAATAAAATTCTGCAGAAAGAATTTACCAATGCTGAGAGAGCATCTGAGGGAGGTTAATGTCCAGTACCTTGTTTTTGTATTTGTATTTGGTGACAGGACAACTAGCCACATCTAACCTACATCTGATTAATATATATCAGAATCTCTGGTATTTTCTGGTGTTCAGGTTTTACTATATAAAATAGATCATTTAATAACTAGAATAATAGTAAAAAAAAACAAAAACAACCTCAGTTCAATTATTTCAAGAAAGTTTGTGCTTAGAGGTCTAATAACCACTTACAATACTGCAAAGAACTGCAAAAGTCAACAATATGAATGTTGGAATAACAAGAATAAGAGAATCCTCGCTTCTGGGTACAGTCTGGTGGAGGTTTTTTGGGGGGAGAGGGAAGTGGATTTTTATAACTTAAATTCACAATATAAAACCCTGCTTTGCTCACTATTTATACCCAAAATAAAATGCCCAACTTCATGTACCTAAATGATAGAACAGAGCCATCTGCACACACACACAAAAAAAACAACCCTGCACATAGTTGGTTACTCCACTTCCAAGCAATAATTAAAAAACTAAAAACACCTTGGATACAGTAGGTACTCAATAACTGCTGCTGAAAGGTTGATTATCCTTGTATTTTGTTGATAATATTCAAAATAAATAAAGTTCAAAGAGCATCACTTCTCGATTCTGAAGAAAAAAAAAAAGCCTAACCATTGATTTCCTTCTAATGCAGTGCGTCCATGTCCTGGCTCTGTCAATGTGATATATAGAGCATGTCACTTGGTCTCTATAGATCTCATTTTTCCTCACTTTTAAATGTGAAACTACATTATATGTCTACATAAAGGCAATGGGCTGTTATGTCTCCTTTTATCCAACTTTCAAATTTTAAGACCGAGAAACTTAGCAGCTTTTCTCATCCTAATAAAAGAGAAATATGCAAATTGATCATCATGCCAACACACAAATGGCCACCCCCATGTGGACACAAGATGGCTGCAACAAGATGGCCAGCAGGGGAGGGCAGTTGTGGGTGATAGGGCCAGGAGGGGAGGGCAGTTGGGAGGGACCAGGCCTACAAGGAAGGGCAGTTGTGGTGGGGGACCAGGCTGGCAGGGGAGGGCAGTTAGGGGCAACCAGGCCCGCAGAAGAGGGCAGTTGGGGAGGACTGGGCCTGCAGGGAAAGGCAGTTAGGGGCAACCAGGATGGCAAGGGAGGGCAGTTAGGGGCAATCAGGTCAGCAGGGGAGCAGTTAGATGTCGATCAGGCTGGCAGGGGAGTGGTTAGGGGGTGATCAGGCTGTCAGGCAGAAGTGGTTAGGGGTAATCAGGCAGGTGAGCAGTTGGGAGCCTGGATTGTGAGGAATGTCTGACTGCCTGTTTAGGCCCAATCTTACTGGGTTCGGATCTAAACAGGCAGTTGGAAATACCTCGAGGGGTCTCAGAATGAAGAGGGTGCAGGCTGGGCTGAGGGATACACTCTCACCACCACCCTCCCCCTGCACAAATTTTGTGCACCAGACCTCTAATATAAGAATGAAAACTGTCAAATCAGGAAATGTAAAGCATTAGAAAATTTAAAAAATCAAATTAAAAGAGGGACAGTAAGATATAGAGACAAAAGCACTTGCTCTTCTGGGATCCAGATCTCCGTTCGACCACTGACAAGTCAATGTGAATTGGGTTAGTCATTTGGCCATCAGTATCCTTATCTGAAATATAGGAATAATACTACAATACTTTCCCTGCCTATTATGAAGAGCAGATAATACATTATAAAGAAATGAAAGGTTGACCTAGCTGGTTTGGCAAAGTGGATAGACTGTTGGCCTGCAGACTGAAGGGTTCTGTGTTCAATTTTGTTAAAGGGCAAAAATCATGCCTGGGGTTGTGGGCTTGATCCCCAGTAGGATCTGCAGGAGGTAGTCGATCAATGATTCTCTCTTATCATTGGTGTTTCTATCTCTCTCCCTCTCCCTTCCTCTCTGAAATAAAAAATACATATTTTTTAAAATGTGGTAACCTATAAAGTGCTCAATCCTCATCTTTATGTTTCTCTCTGTCTCTTCCCCTTCTTTCCACTCTCTAAAATCAATGGAAAAATATGATCAAGTGAGGATTAAAAAAAAAAAGAGCCTGAGTTCAAACTGCAAAGTTCCTTGCTAAACAGATACTGATAAAGCGAGGAAAAGAATGTTAGCTTTTACCAAGTTATTTGACCCTGAAATACAGTGCTTTGCTGCTTCCTACAAATATAACAAGTGCTTTAGACAGATAGGTAGGTCAGTAAGCTTCCAAATAACAATGTGCTTTAGACTTCTATGTCTAGTCCCTTAGGTCATAATCCACTTTTCTTCCCCCAGACAATTTGGGATTCCAGAATCATTTTAAAATGGGAAAGGACCTCATTTCTCTAGTCTCTCATTTTATCAGATGAGAAAACTGAGGTCCACTAAGGTCAATAGGATTTACCCAACGTCATTTTGGCCTGTGGCTAAATTAAAAATTGGGACTTCCTTTTCAGAAAGAAGGTAAGGGAGGTGGGAAGAAAATCTGTAATGCATATATGCATAACACATCAGCACAGACAATAGGGCGGTGAGGCCTGGGGCAGGGATGGGGGTGGGGCTGGAAGGGGGCCAATGGGAGAAAAAAGGGAACATATATAATACTTTCAACAATAAAGATTTTAAAAAATAATTAGGACTTCCTAATATTTAGCTCCAAATCCT